GCCAGCTGCCCCAGACAGCCTCTAGGACAGGGTCTGAGCCCACGGCTCAGGATGGAAGTAAATCGGGCACTTGGCCCCAACGTGCAGGCCCCTCGACGTTCAAAGGAGAAGCGAGCTCGGCGCGTTAGGAGGCGCAGTGACGCCCGCGGGCACGCCTGGAGCCGGTTCTGATGGGAGGCCACTCTGCTGGCCACTTGTTCTGAATTTGGATGCCGTTTGGCTCTTGGCTTTGAAAAGGCTGCGAGCCCTGGGCTAGGCGCTCCCTACCTCGGCTCTGTGTGCGCAGTGCCTAGCCCAGCAGGGCCTGGCCGGCCACTAGCCCCCTGGGCACAGATCCAGTCTACCAGGGCCAGCTGCCCAAGTGGGGTTTACTGGCCAGAGCACCAAGAATCACAGAACAGGAGGACTGGGAGGGACCTTGGGGGAGCAAGTCCAGTCCCTGCCCCCACGGCAGGACCCAGCACCGTCCAGCCCATCCCTGACAGCGTCTGTCCAACCTGCTCTGAAATATCCCCAGGGACGGAGAGTCCACAACCCCCCAGGCAACTGATTCCATGTTTAACCCCCCCAACAGGCAGGAAGGTTTTCCCAATGTCCAACCTAAACCTCCCCTGCTGCAGTTTCAGCCCCTTGCTCTGTGCTCAGAGGCCCAGGGGCTCTGACACACCCTCTTCGGTACTTGAGAACCGCTGTCACGTCCCCTCTCAGGCTCCTCTCCTGATGGGACAGAGGACGGTGAAGTGCATGTGACCGAGCCCCGTGAGGGCAGGATCCCACACCCCTCTGTGTGCCCTGGACAGAGTGAGAGACAGGCCGTCCGGAAGGGGCTCACAACATCCTGGCCCCTGCCCGGGGGCTCCGGCCAGGAGCTGCGTGTACTTGGAACAGCTCGTCTGGTGCCTCCTGGGCGCAGCGCCTGCCCGCCCGGCTCCCCGCCTGACCTCTTGTCGGGGATGCGGAAGTCGCGGTACAGCTGCTCCGCCCGCTTGTGGCTGCCGTCCAGGATGAGGCTGTAGACGGTGTCGTGCAGGGAGAAGTCCACGTAGGGCTTGTCCAACTCGTCCTGCAAGCGGCGCTGCATCCGCAGCAGCTTGATCTGATCCTCCGTGGCCTGTGGAGCAGAGGCCAGGCTGGGCGCACGGGATGGGCCTCTCCCCGGGCACCCGCCATCCCTGCGCGCAAGGCACCCCCCCCCCTGCCGCTTCCCCTGAGGGCGGCGCAGACACCGGGGCTCCCAAGGGAAGGCCTGGGCTCTCTCCTCCCCAGCCCTGCGTTCTTCCAGGCGGCTTCCTCAGCCTCTGGCCCTGCCCAGCCCTGTT